TTATTATTATTATTATTATTATTATTATTATTATTATTATTATTATTATTACTACTGTGGTTTTACTGATTGTTAAAGTTTTGTTTCTTTTTTATTTAAGTTGGTGATACGATCATTCCGTTCTAATTAGTAAAAGAACACACATTTAAAACTGCAAACTTAACGTTGTAATTTTCTTTTTGCAACTACTTAAGTATATTTATTATAGCAAAAAAAAAAACAACACCTGCTTTAAGCACATAAAATATTAACTTATTAAATTCTATGTTACCTGTTATTGTTGTTAAATTTGTCGTGTTATTTATAGGACTTTGAGCAATATTGTATGTATTATTATGCCGTATAATTAAGTTGGGATAAATAATTAAAGTTCTAATTTAATATATACGAATAGAGCCGTATTCTTCATAAATAGGCTTATTTATTTTATTTTATTATCATAAACGTGTACATTTTTTTTTTTTTTGACATAAATCCATGAAATTATTCCTAAAGATATTTTAACATTATTCGGTTAAATTTGATTAAGAATATTATTGTGAGATGTTGATTTCATTAGTATATTTTCATTCACCATATTCTTTATTCCTAACTTTTAGATAAAAAAAATTATGATTTCTTTTTTTTTTTATAGAATTAAAAAATATCTATGCATTAAAAAGTATAATATATTTTTTTCATTAATTTATTTATTTTATATATTCCTATTATTCTTTATCTTTAATGCTACTCTTAACTCTATTTAATCTATTACTTGTGTACTGGCTAGGTATTACATTTTTATATTGTTATTGTTACTTACTAATAATTTTCATATTACTGTTAAACTTTCAATTAGTGGACATTTATGAGAACATAGTAAATTCACTATACAAAGTTATCTTCAAACATATGAACAACATATATAATTCATATATATATATATGAATAACATAATTACATCATAGCATAGAAAAAATTTATTCTAAATTATTGGTTTGCTGATTTATATATGTCAAGACTATATAAATATTTATGTATTCAAAGGTATTTTTTGAGTTTGTACAGGCAATCTTATGCATGTGAATTAGCTCCATTCAATTTCAACATTTTTTTTTAAGTTTTAGTTGACTTTTTAGTCAAATTATATGGGCCTTATATCTTATTTAGCCTAATGAGGAATTAGGTATATAATACAGTTGTTCAACTGATGGAAAAAGTTATTTAAGTCTGATAACAAAAAGGTAATTGTTTCAATATAACATTCAAAAAATGCCAATGAGCACAATAGTTGAAATCAGTGGTGTATCCAGGGAAGGGTTAATGGGTTATAACCCCTCCCCAAATGTCTCACTAATTTTGTAAGATATATAATAATTTTAAGACAGGTATAATGTTATATCATGTCATCATCAAACAATTTTCCCTGTTTCAACAAACTAAGTAATAACAAATTTTATATTTTAACTAGGTGAGAGAATTGAAAATTTATAGACCCCCTAAATATTTTTCTGGCTACGTCACTGATTTAAATTACCTAATAAATATTAGATTTATTAAAAATTGTAAAAATATGTATTTGTATTTCACAAAATATTAAAAGTTATCGTGATTGTATATCTTATACATTTTTAAAAAAAATAAAGTTTGAACATATATCGTGAAAATAATACGACGTACAAAACATAACAGTTGTCATAAAAAAATCCAAGGGGGTGAGCACTCACTTCGCCACCCTTAAAACCTGCCTCTACTAGCTTCCAACATAAAATAAATCCTAAACATTCAGTACCAAGAAACACACAAGATTATTGCATCACAAGTAAAAATGTTTGACGCCCAGCGAAGTGAACGCTGGTCAACTAATAATTTGTAATACGCTACAAATTCATAAATATATACTTGTACCTATGTATATTTTTATATTTTGTAGTTTGTCTATGATTTATTATGATGTAGAATAGTGCTTGGACGTTGCTTCGAGTAACACTAGAAGCATTTACCAGAAATTTACTAATAACATTTCATCGGTTGATATAACTTCTATGAAGGAGGAAAGCTAGAAGAGGAAGAGGATGATACAACACCGATTATCTCGGTCATGAACATATATATTGTGATTTCGGTAACAAATGCACTTGATTATATTAAAGAACTAGGAAAATTAATTGCATCTTTTGACAATGCTTACGAAATGTTACATCATCACAATCAAATTGAGAACTGCCTCTATTCTAAAAACATTAAAAAATGAGGAATGAACAAAAATCGATATTATTTTGAAGTACCAGGTAATGTATAATAATATATAGTATACATTTTAAAATGTACACTGTAATAAATAATTTTTATTGTCACAATTTAAATTGGTTTTCCTTCGTAATACGACTTCCTGTTTAATACGCTATTTTTAACTGGTCTCTCGGAAAGCGTCTTAGACGTGTTTGTCCATAATATCAAATATAAATGTTCGTCGGAATACAACTCGCTGTCTCTCCTATCAAATAGTATAGATATTTTTTATTTATATCGTAAATTATGTACGGTATTAATAAAGCCTTTAATCTTTACCTACAATTATTTTACATATTATTTGTGTATTGCACCGTTTTGTTAATTGTCAAACCGTAGTAAGTACAATAGCTTTTACGTTTTAGTACCGTTTACTCTTATTTAAATGCATTATACAGCACACGAGTGAACATCAATAACAATTAAAATTCAGTTAATGGTTGTCTACAGATATTAACTTAGGGCTTTTCTATAATATACGAATATTTACTGAACATAAAATGTGTAATATCATTATACATAAAATATGATTTGTGACAATGTTTAAATCGTTATAATTATCTTTCATAAATATTTAAACCAGAATTTATACAAAGAAGTTATGCTATACAGCCAGTGCAGCAAAAACCGGGTGTACTGAATGTGCCGCGCACACGGACCCGAGGCTTACATAAATCTGAGGGCCCCCTAGTCTTAGCCAGAAATAAACTACACTTTCCAAACATACAATTATTTAATAATAAAAATAAATTTTTTTAAATTTCAGGTAAGATTGTTATAATATTTATTTAACAATGAGTCCATTGAATATTTGAGTAGGCATACCACATACCTACCAAAACTATTTAAATATATTTACTACATAAATATGTAATGAAGTATAATATACAACAGTTATAGGTATTTAGTTTGATATTTATACATATATCATATACTAACTGATGTGAAGTGTGTTTAAACTAAAAAAAATTGATACTTTAATTGAACAAAAATAAATCCTAGGAAGGGGCCTAATATAATTACCGCACACGGGCCTCCTATTTTGTAGCTGCGACACTGTATACAGCAATGATCTCAGACACGCGGCCCGCGAGCCTTTTCGATGTGGCCCGCAATGAAAATTTATTTCTTCAAAAATTTTGATTTTTTTTTTTTTGTTTTATAAAATATTTTATATTTTAACAATCTGGTACAAAATAAGAAGTATCAAGTATCAAGTGCTGCTCGAAATAAAAATAAATTGTTATTATTATTATTTTATTATTAAAATAAAATAAAATTCAATTCACAGTACAATGTTCATTTTTGACATACCTAATTATAATAAAAGAAATACATTTTGAAATACATTTTTATTTATTTTGTATATTTTATATTTAATATTAAAATGAGTAAAAAAAAAAGTGTTTTGCCTGCGAATCTTTGACATAAATATATATAGTCGGTTGGTAATTTGAGTTTGAGATCACTGTTATACAGTGACACCAGGGGCATCATTTGGAATAAAACCATAGGATAGCAACATTGGCAACTCAGAGGAAGGAGGGCAAATGAGCTTTAGCCCACTCCCGCCCCCTTCCACATTAACTGTCTGAATTCTAAAAAAAATAAAGCTAGTCAACATTTAACACTTTGAACGTTAAATACATAATACACAATAACATATTATCAAATATTGAGTATAATTTACATAATTGACCTCTAGAACACATGTCCTTAGGAGGATAAGTCTTAGTGAATTGTTCATAAGAGTTGTTAAAAATACAACAATCAAAGATCAGTGACTAAGTGGTCTATATATATATATATGTATATAGATAGATAGATTAAGATTATATTTGATTAATTTCTGAAAAAAAAACAATAAAATGTTACATAAATTTCTCGTGGGGTGTCATAGCTATTAATTTGCTACCCCAATAAAAATGGTGGGGTAGCAATGGCAATCCCTCGCTACTCCGTAATGACGCCTATGAGTGACACCATAAGATAAAATAAAGTTATAAGATTTTATATTTCTACAAATACCTATATGAGTCAGACCCATGTGTAAGAAAGAGGAAGGGGTCAAACCCCTATCAATATTTTTTTCTAGGCGCACATTATACGATTTTAAGGTATTAAGATTTTAGATGAAATAAAACGTATTCATTGTTTTTGAATAATAATTTTGATAACAGCCGTAATTACAGGACAGTATATTGCCAACAGGTTCTGTGACGCCGCAACGACAATATTTAGTTTTTAGAAATTTTTAAAAAATTGGTAGGTATATTATAATGTAAGAATAGCAATCAATAGTAAGTACCATCATAACGTTGTTATGAAGTATATAAAACGTACTTAATCCTTAAATGCTAACATACAATCAGCATCAAACCATGCGTCATAAATATCTTTTCTCTTAAGCAGATTATTATTAAGCATAAATAAGTTAGTTTTTTTTATCTGTGTTATGCGGTCTGCCGCCCGTTTCTACTTGTCATATGCGGTCTAACACCATGGGTGTCCCCAGAAATATTTTTTTAGCGGAGGGCAAAATTAATTTAAAAAATAAACAATGATTTTATTATAAATTTTATATTTACATTTTATTTATATATTATTCTTTTTCCTCAAATATAAGATAT